TAAAGAGTGAGTATTTTTCCCATAGTTATATCACAGTGCTTTGTTTTAATTATGAAGACAGAGGTCAATTTTTAACATAACTAAACGTTGAAATCTGTGAACCAGTAATAGAAGAGTTTGCTATTTAATAATAATGACTGCAATAATATCATAACAAATAGATACTAATTACTAACCACGCACTTTGTGCCAGGTATTAAGTATGGTATAATATGTACATAAGACTCACTGACTTTTCCTTTGTAACTAAAGGTGGCAGAGCTGGGATGTGTTTCCAGGCTTCTTTGCCACAGAAGCTGTGTGTTTAATCTCAAGCCACAACGGAGGTCACAGCGATTGTAAGACCCTCCTATTAAGTGGAGGAAAAAGGAACAAGTCCCACCCATCCCAACTATTCTGACTTTCCCCAAAAAAGAACTCAGCGATGATACCGAAGTCACTCTGGACAAGCGTTTTCTCCTGATGGGTGAAACGTCATATCCTCTGCAGATGCACCTCCCCAGTGGAGGCAGTGCGGTAGAAAATGTCAGTGCTCCATGCATACCCCTCCTGGTCGCTGATCCTCCCCAGGTCCCACAGCAGGCAGCCCCTGCACCCCTTTGTGGCAACTCCCCTCAAGCTACCATAGCTGACTGTCTTCGAACTGGCCTGATGACACCTGTGGCTTCAGGACAGAGCACATGATTCAGGTCTTCCCATCAGAGACTTGTGCACCATGGCCACTGTGATTGGTCAACTCTGGGAACCAAGGCTGCCCAATAAAGACAACCAGACTCAATTCTGCAATGCTGTTGGAAGAGCTTGTGAAGAGGAAGTGTATTCATAGAGCTTTGCTCAGACAGTGGGATATAAACTCTGAGCTTCTAGGCAAGAGTTTTCCCCCAAGTGGAGAAAGTACCATTGAAAGCCAAAGTCAAACAAAGGAAAGAAACTTGGAATTCTTCACACGCATCAAGTTATGCCTGATGCCAAAAATCTCATTGAACATTTCAGTTAGTTAGTAATTCTTTTAGGCTTAAGCCTTTTTGAGTTATATTCCTGTTGTTTTCAACTGAAAAGACTTGACGGATAGATTCTGAATGCTCAGGTTCAAATGCATGTTAGGTTACTTTCTGTCTGTGTGATTGAAATATATGATGTGGTGGATTATTTCTGGATACGACATTTTATAGATTAGCTACTTTAGAATTCTCAAAGCCACTAAACTATCAAAAAATACTCAAATGTTTAAAACATTTAAAATTTAAAAGCCTTATCAAGTGCATTTTGTGATTACATTTCACGTTAACAAATTTCTAATGGCAAAAAAAATCAGTTTTATAAGATTTCACGGTTACCTCCTATTTAAATGCTGAGTTTTTATTCAGATTTGTTACATCGATGCTAAATAAGGATGCCATAGTCCTCCTGATTATAACCGGTAATGTGAGATGTAGAGTCAGAGAGAGTGAATGTAAAGCACAGGTAACAAAAATACATATGCATTTTAATGAAAAGTTCCCATTTTCTCAGGAACTTCTTATGAAGACACTAAATGAACTGCTTCAGATTTCATACCCACCCTCTCGTCTGAAGCCATCCCAATGGACCATGGGTGGAGAGAACTGGAATCAACAAAAGATGAAATTATTTTAGCAGTCAGCTTCAGTTTCTAAATGCAAGTTGGTTTTTCCAACATATACCAATCTACGTCAACAGCAATAATAATTTTAATTATAGAGCTGTCATATTAGAATACTATGAAGGCGGGATAGAGCAGAATGCAGCTCTCAGCCATACTTTGTTGCATCTTTATAAGCAAGGATTTCCTCATTTACAGAATGGAGATTAATAATAGTATATAATTCATAGGATTATTGTGAGGATTAAATTATATATTCCATGTCGTGTTCAACCTGCTGTCTAGCACACATGAAAGGATGTGTTTGAGTGCTGATGAGAAAATTAATGAAATAATTTAAGTTAAAAATAAATAAAGTGGCTAATTCCTGAGCCATTTCTTTCCATGACTAGCCTCATCCCCTCCAATACCAACCAACCACACTCCTCAATTAAGAAATCAAAGGTTTTCAGTGATCTTCAAGGGTGTAAATACCATTTGATTTTTAAAATCTTGGTGAAATACCATTCAAGTTTTTAAAAGCTATTTGTGAAATAACAAAGTGTGAAGTAGGCTAGCACTTCTTTCCAAAGAATGACAATAGTTTACATCATAAGTCAGCGATCTGAGGTTTACATGCTTTCTCCAGTTTCTCCACAGGAAATTACTACCACCCCCCTTCACTGTTCTGCAAGGCAATTTTGAATGCAGTCCATCTTGGGAGATTTGTCCCTACCTACAGAATCAAGTTCAAGCTTATTATGCCACACTTTCCACACTCTGATTTGACTTTTTTTTTTTTTAAGATTTTTATTGGGGAATTTGGGGATGGGATCAGCACTGGGGAATTGAGGGAAGGGGAACAGACAAGTTGCTGTCCTTTTTGTTCTTCAGTCTAGTTGTGGAGCACGTTGCTTCACTGGCCCAAGTTGGCACCATCATTGCGCTCTTCCCAGGTGAGGCAGATCAGTCGCCGGCTTCTGGACGGCCACTCACAGCGGCTTGAGGGCCACTCACTCTGGCTGCTGTCTACACATGGTAGCCCATGGCAACCCACTGCTACAGGGGCTGCAGCCTATGCCCTCGCCGGTGACTCATGGCAGCCCAGCTCCAGGTTGAGCTATTGTTCAGCATCTTAGCTGTGGAGGGCAGTGTCACTGGCCCTCATATGTGGGATCCGAACCAGGGCCCTCTGGTGTCCCAAGTCAGTTCTTAACCATCGCGCCACTCGGCCGGCCTCATTTGACTCTTTAACTTCACGTTCTGACACCCTTTCCTTGTGCTTCAACCTCTAGTAATACTGAATTGCCTGAGTCCCTTGCAGGCACCAGCCTATCTCACACCTCTGTGACTCTTTCCACCATGTTTTCTCTTCCTGGCATGCCCTTCCCACCTAGCTTGCTCTTATGTATCCTTCAAGATAATCACACCTGTGTCTAAGCTTCTCCAGAAACCTTCCTTGAATCTCCTGTTCCTCTTACTGTCCTTCCTGTTCTGACATAGTCCCCCATACACACCTCTCACCTTATTAAACTTATTAAATTGAAATTACCTGCATAGATGTTTGACTGCCTCATGAAACTCCCTGAGGATAAGATTGGTGTTGCTTATTTTTACCCTCCAAGCTCTTACATGGTGCCTGAACATAGTAGGTATTATACGGAAATGTTTGTATGAAACCAAACTTCTGGAAGAATATGGAATAGAATTCCAGAATTCTCCTTTGGATGAATGTGGTTACCTCAGTCTAGCCATGGTATGACACTGAGGTGTATAGTTCTGTGTTTAGGGACCTGTCCTCCCTGTGAGTACTACCATAACTTTTGGCCCTTGGCAAGAGTTCAATAATTATCTATTGAATTAAATTAAGGTAAGCATTTTAGCCCTTGTTGCACACACAAACTACCCAGACCTTTGGGCTGCTCACCTCATGGAATGTTGCGGGGGTATCACAGGGGACAGACTGACAGTGGGCACGCCAAATTCCATCTGCAGACCTGTTTTGTTTGTTTGACGACCCTTGAAATAGTACTTAACAGGGTTTAAAATGAAGAGCCAGATATCTGGCTTATCTTTTTAAAAAATTCAAAAGATTTGGTAACATGAGTTTGCATTCACATGTGGCAGCAAATGACTGGAACTGCATGGTGGCTGCTGCTTTTACATGGTTTGTCATGGTCCCTACCACTCCTTTTGGAGTCCCTGACATGCAGGCGCCATGTCAGTTGAGTTTATCACCATGCACTGTTTTCTTAGAGAAGACAAATATTGTTCTGGAAAGGCAGAGAGCAGAGTGGCGTAGGGCATGGACTCTGGAGTCAGATTGCCAGGGTTCAGGTCTATGGTATGGTCTAGCTGTGCCACTTCTTAGCTACTTCCTATCGCTGTGACTCTTAGCAAGTTACTCTGTGATTTATTTTCCTCCCCTATAAAATGGAAATAACAATGAAGCTTAGAGGGTTGTTGTGATGATTAGATGAATCAATGTATGTGGAGCACATCAACAGTGTCTGGCATATAGTAAAGACCATGTGGATTAACAATTGTGTTATTATTGGTCATGCCTTCATGTAATGTGGAAAATGAAAGAGAAACCAAGAGAGGGCTATGTGTTTCAAGAGTCTCTATCTTCAGAGAAGGGAGAGAGAAGTTTATTTGTTGAATCCACCAGCATCCAGACCCCTTTGCTCGTTTACATTATTGTCTGTACCTGTAGGAATTTGACTTTGTAACACTTGTGGAATGTGACCCTAGTAGCCAGGAAATGTAATGTCATTCTTAACTTGTAGTTTGAAAGCATCTGCTTTTTGATTCTTTTTTAAAGATTTTATTGGGGAATTGGGGGAGGGGAATAGCGCTGGGCAATCGGGGGAAGGGGAACAGACAAGTTGCTGTCCTTTTGTTTTTCAGCCTAGTTGTGGAGGATGTTGATTCACTGGTCCATGTTGGTATTATAATTGTGCTCTTCCCCGGGTGAGACAGTCGATCACTGGCCTCTGGACAGCCGCTTATGGCGGCTCTTGGCAGCTCACACCGGCTGCCGGCAGCTCACACCGGCTGTCAGCCGCTCACGCTGGCTGCCAGCCACACACGGTAGTTTATGGCAGCCCACTGCAGCAGGGGCTGCAGCTTATACTGTCGCTGGCGACTCACAGCAGCCCAACTCCAGTTCGAGCTGTTTAGCTGTAGAGGGCAGTGTCACTGGCCCCCATGTGGGATCTGAACCGGGGCCCTGCTGCTCAGAGCTGGCATCCCAAGCCAGCTCTTAACCAATGCGCCACTCAGCCGGCCTGCTTTTTGATTCTTTCGTCACAGATCAGAATCAGTATTCCGTTAGTAAAGCATGCATGTTGATTTCTAGTTAAATGTCCATTGCAATTACTGGCATATTTTATTTTAGGGAAACATGCAGAAATCTTGGATTACAACAGGTGACGATTCCAAGATGGAGGAAGCTGACAAGAGCTCGTTTTCCCACGGCAAGGCAGATGTTCTCAAAATTGCATCTGCTTTGGAGACTGACAAGTGCAAGCTAGAACTGGTGAGTCTTTGGGGGCTTTTGTCTTATGCATCTACTTTTTTTGGTACTTGTAAAAACTGTGGTCAGTATATACATAACATAAGATTTAACATTGTAAATATTTACCACTTAACCATTTTAAGGTTAACTCATTTCCATTCCCATTTATACCTTATGTTTATATCTTATGTTTATACATTTATATCTTATGTTATATACATAACATAAGATTTAACATTGTAAATATTTACCACTTAACCATTTTAAGGTTAACTCATTTCCATTCATTACAGCCACAATGTTGTGAAACCATCAGCACCATCCATTTCCAGAACGTTTTTTTTTTAACTTTATTGGGGAACAGTGTGTTTTTTGGGGGAACAATTCCAGAACTTTTTCATCGTCTCAAACAAAGACTCTGTCCCCATTAAACAATAACTCCCATTCTCCTCTTTTCGCAGCCCCTGGTAACCTCTTCTACTTTCTGTCTCTGTGAATTTGCCTATTCTCAGTACCTGACATAAGTGGAATCAAACAGTTTTTGTCCTCTTATGTCTGGCATATTTCATTTAGCATAACGCCTTCAAGGTTCATTCATGTTGTAGCATGTGTCATAATTTTGTTTCTTCATAAGGGTGGATACTATTCCATTGTATGTATATACCACACTGTTTATTCATTGATGGACTTTTGGGTTTCCACCTTTTAGCTCTTGTGAATAAGGCTGCTGTGACCATCGATGCGCAAATATCTGTTTGAGTCCCTGCTTTCCCTTCTATTGGATAAATACCCAGAAATGGAATTGTTGGATCATGTGGTAGTTCTTCATTCTTTTTCCTTTCTGCTCCTGAGACTCAGTCATTTCAATTGCCCTGTCTTGAAGTTCGCTGATTCTTTGTTCTGCTGCTCGAATCTGCTCTTTAACCCCTTTGGTGAATTTTTCATTTCAGTTATTGTACTTTTCAGCCCCAGAACTTCTGTTTAGTTCCTTTTTATAATTTGTTTTCCTAATCTCTTTTAGTTCTTTGTCCATGTTTTCCCTTAGCTCTTTGAGCATATTTAAGACAGTTGTTTCAAAGTTTTTCTATAGTAAGTCTGATGTTTACAGTTTCTTAAAAATAGTTTCTGTCGATTTATTCTGCTCCTTTGAATGGGCCATGTTTTACTGTTTCTTTGTGTGCTTTGTGATTTTTTTTTAAAGATTTTATTGGGGAATTGGGCCAGGGGAACAGTGTTGGGGAATCGGGGAAGGGGAACAGAGAAGTTGCTGTCCTTTTGTTCTTCAGTCTAGTTGTGGAGGATGTTGCTTCACTGGCCCATGTTGGTATTATCATTGCGCTCTTCCCCTGTGAGGCAGATTGGTTGCTGGTCATTGGACGGCCGCTCACGGAGCCTCTTGGCAGCTCATGAAAGCTCACGCCAGCTGCTTGCCAGCCCCACTGCAGCCTACGCTGTGGCTGGTGACTCACAGCAGCCCAGCTCCAGGTCAAGCTGTTATTCACCATCTTAGCTGTAGAGGGCGCAGTGTTACTGGCCCTCATGTAGGATCCAAACCGGGACCCTGCTGCTCAGAGCTGGTGTCCCAAGGCAACTCCTAACCAACGTGCCACTCGGCCGGCTCGTGATTTCTATTTTTGTTTTTGAAAATTGGTCATTGAACTGAACCATTGTACTATGGTAACTCAAATACCCCATTTCCCCCAAGGTTTTCTGTCTTTTTAATTGTTGACTGCTGTAGTAGTTCTTTTGTTTTGAGACTTTTCCAAACTATTTTTGTAAAAGCTATTCCTTCTCATATGTGATCACTGAAGCCTCTGTTTTATTAACTCATGTTCAGCTGATGTTTGACAGAGTCCTTGAATGCCAGGAGCTAAAACAACCAACCAACCAACCAACCACAAACACACACACTAGAAAAGGATAGAACCACCACCTCTCCCAGTCTTTGCAGATTGGCTCTGTGCTGGCGCAGTCCTTCACCATTTAGCCAGGCTTGCTCTGAGCTTAGAGATCAGCCTGAAGTGCCAGCTTACTCAGGACTGTTCTGAGCATGTCTTCCCTGGGCATGCTCGTGGCTTTCTAAATCCCCCTGTATACAGAGCTGCTTTTGAATATCCTCACTTCCCAGAGTTTAAAATAATTTTATTTTAAAATCAAATGGTACTTTTAAATCCTTTGATCTATGTAACAGACCTCTTTTCTTCCTCTTGCTTGAAGTCTTTTTTGCATTAAATTCGACATTGCAGAATCAATCAACAATGATGAAAATGTAAAAAATAACATTGTATCTGGATGAATCATAGTTCAGCTTTCATTCTGCTCTTTAGGTGTTATTGCTACAGTTTCCTAAAGGATCTTTCTGGCCCTAATCTCCCTCCCCTTTCTCAGTCCCTAATCCAAGCTTTATTCTACTATTTAGGAAAGAGTTCCTTTCTTTAAAAAAAATCTGAAGAACTAAATAAATGTATGTTTTTTTCTTTAGCTGAATAACCTATGATAACCACTAATACCCATAAGATAAAATCAGTGTCCTGAGCCATCCACAATTTGCCTCAAACTGTCTTGCCAGACTTGTGTCTCTCTCACAAATACAGCTGTAGGCACACAGACCACTTACTAGTCATAATCATATTATCTGCTTCTATTTCTCTTTGAATAACTGGCTTTGGTTTTTGCAATCATCCCGACTTAAAATGTTTTCTTCTTATCATCTGCCTATCAAAATGTTTCCAGCCTGCAAGGCCTGGTTCCAATGGCCCCTCCCAGCCACCCTCCCTCATTACATGCTTCTCCTCCTCCCACATTAGAATCAATTTCTCTTTGATATCTCCTCTTAGTGTTGTGTTTAGAACTGTTATACAGAGGAAAAAACTGTATTAAAATTGTAATACTCAACATATACCCATAACAACAGAGAATACAACTCATGTGTATACATTTTTTTGGCACACCCGGTAGATTCATTTTTTTTTTTATCTGTGTCCGAGGTTGATCCCTGCATCTGTGTGCTCTGTGTTCCAAATCTTTCACTGTTTTCAAGGGTTTCACTCTTGCAAGCATCTTCTCCTGCACTTTTATCTTTTCTCCCACTTTATTGCATTATTCTCAACAGAATGTGTTCCTTAATAGCTCCCATCTTAAAACAAACAATACAAAATATATTCTCTTGACCCTACGTTCCCTTTGAACTATCACCCAACTATTGCTCCCTTCATATCAAAACCTTTCCGGCCGGCCGAGTGGCTCAGTTGGTTAAGAGCTCGCTCAAGAGTTTGAGCTCTGAGCAACAGCGGTTTGAGTCCCGGCCTGAGCTGAGCAACCGCTGAGCTGCCAACCGGTGGCAGGATGGCTCCGCTTAAAAAAAAAAAAAAAGATATACAAAACCTTTCCAACAGTTGTCTTTAGTTGTGTCTCTGTTCCTCACCATCCATTCATTCCCTCTTCAACATACTTCATTTAAGCTTCTACCACCTATAGTCCCCTGAACCTTTTTTTTTAAGAACATTAATGACCTCCACATACCAGTTCTCATCTTCTGAACCTTACAGCAGCGCGCTATATATAATATTTACATTGGTTGGCCATGCCATCCTCCTTTTAACTTTTCTAATGACCTTGTTTAACATACATTCAAAAAAGTGCATAAACAACAATGTACAGCTGAACGATTTATCTCGACATGAACACCCATGTAATTTTCACCTGTAAGATGTGTAAGATTGCCATGTCCCGGAGCCCTCTTCATGCCCACTGCCAAGCACGGTCTCCTTATTCCCCTAAAGCTAATCACTATGTTGACTTTTATGGAAATTGCCTAAGCATGACCATTAAGCACTCTAGTTGATTTGTGCATGTTTTTTTAAACATTACATAAATGGGAACACCCGGTATGTATTTTTTGTGTCTGGCTCCTTTTATTCAACGTTGTATTTGTTAGACTTATACACATTGAAAGTGGTAGAAATTTGTTCATTTTCCTTGGTGGGTCTACTGTGTGAATATCCTACAATGTGTTCATCCATTTTACTATTGATGGATATTTGCATTGTTTCCAGTTTGGGGCTATTGTAAATCTTGCTGCTATGAACATTCTTTTATGTGTTTTGGTGTGCATTGCACACAGTTGTGTTGGTATGTACCTTGGAGTGGAACCGTAGGTCTTAGGGTACGTGTGTGTGTGTATGTTCACCTTGAGGAGGTTAAGGCAAACTTTTCCAAGGTGATTTTTTTCAGTTTACACTTTTACCAGCAACATATGAGTGATACCATTGCTCCACGTCCTTGCCAACACAGCACATGGTCAGTTTTTCTAGTGGGCTTGCGGTGCTATCTCATTGTGATTTTCATTTGCATTTCTCTGATTATTCATGAGAATGAATACCTTCTGATATGTGTATTGGTCATTTGATGCCCTCCTTTGTCATATTCCTGTTCAAATAGCCTACTCATTATTTTGAGTCATCTGACATCGATTATTTGAACTTCTTTATAAATTTTGGGTACAAGCCCTTTGTTGGTTTATCTATTGTAAGTATATTTTCCCATTCTGTGGCTTGCCTTGATTTTGTGGCTAACTCTCTTGATTTCTTTCTTCCTTTTCTTTCCGTCCCCTTCCCTCATCTCCACTGTTATTGCTTCCACTGCCCTCTCCTCCTTTTCTAAATCCTCATTGCTGGTATAGAGAAAAGCATATATATTTTTGCTTTTTTTTAAGCTGAGCCATCCTGCTACCTATTAGCAGCTTAGCGGCAGCTCAGCTCGGGCCGGGCATCAAACCACTGTTGCTGAGAGCTCAAAGTTTTGAGCGAGCTCTTCACCAACTGAGCCCCTCAGCTGGCCCTGTTTTTGCATTTTAACTGACTCCTTCTTTCCCTTGATTAGTGTTAGCGTGGTATGGTATCTTTTTTTTTTCTACCCTTTTAATTTTAACACATTTGTGTCTTCATATTTAATGTCCGTTTCTTGTGGACAACATACAGATGAATTTGGCATTTTTATCCAATCTAACATCTGCCTTTTAAATGTGACTATTTATACACTTGGGTTTAAATCCACTATGTTGCTATGTGGTTCTTCCCCCCCCCCATCCATTGTCTTGTTCCCCCTCTCCTCTTTTTCTGCCTTCTTTTGAGTTAGTTGAACATTTTTATGATTCCATTTTTCCTCTCTTAATCAGTCTGAAAAAATCTTTAGCACCAACATTCACCTGGCTGCTCAATTTGGAAACCTGGGGTTATACTTAATGTCCTTTTCTGCTCCATATCTATTCAAACATACAATTCTGTCAATGTTACTTTTATATAGCTCTATATTAAATTCTTTCATTTCTATACTTACTGCTTGATTACTCATATTCATGTGCTTATCTCTTACCTATGTATTCGCGATGACTTCTTTATTGCTCTCCCTTTTTCCACACTTTACAGTGCTTTAAGATTCAAATCTGACAAACAGCTTTCGGTGTTCATCCAATACCTCTACTATATGGAGACTACATGAGCTGTCTAAATAGAGGTCTTAATATTTTTATTCTTTCCACAGCCCAACCTTACCTCCTTAACCCACCTCTGTCCACTTTTCCACCTACTATTTTTCATCTCCAGCCTCTGTGCCTTTTATTCTATTGGAAATTATCCTTTAAGTCTTAGCACCTCCTCCGTGAAGATTTCTCCACTTCTCTTTGGCTGAATTACAAATTCCTGCCTCTCTGATTTCATTTTACCTTCTGTATACCTCAGCATAAATTATATATAATTGAATATTCATCTGTCTTTCCGTTCCTTCCTAGATTCTAAGTTCCTTGAAGTTAGGCATTTTTGTCTTAGATACCCAATAAATATTTGTTAAATGAAAGAATAACTGGTTACCAGGAGAGACTAATAGATAGTTTGGTCTATCATATGATTTATAATTTCATCCAGTTGTATGTCATACATACATGTTTATTGTATCTATATTTATTGTATGTTAAATGTACAGCAATCACAATAGGGGATTCCAATAGGATTTGATCCTTGCTCTCATTGACCTTATAGATTATAGTTGGTTTGTCCCACCATCACACTTTTTTTTTTAAAGATTTTATTGGGGAATTGGGGGAGGGGAACAGTGTTGGGGAATTGGGGAAAGGGAACAGTGTTGGGGAATTGGGGAAGAGGAGCAGCCAAGTTGTCCTTTAATTTTATTGGGTTGTCGGAAAAGTCATGACATATTTTTTTATATTTTTCGTTACAAAATGCGTCTTGACTTTTCCAACAACCCAATAGTTGTGGAGGGCGCAGCTAGTTCAGCTCCAAGTCCAGTCGCCATCCGGTTGCCCAATGGCAGCTTGCAGCCACTCAGCTCAAGGTGCCGAGTTCAGTCTTAATTGCGGGTGGGCATAGCCACCATCCCATGTGGGAGTCAAACCGGCAGCCTTGTTGTTAAGAGCACGTGCTCTATCCCTTGAGCCTCCCAGGCGGCAGCTCAGCACCAGCTCAGCTCAAGGTGCTGAGTTCAGTCTTTAGTTGTGGGTGGGCGTAGCCACCATCCCATGTGGGAGTCGAACAGCCAACCTTGTTAGGAACACATGCTCTCACCAGCTGAGCCATCCTGCCACCTCTTGGCAGCTCAGCAGCAGCTCAGCTCCGGCACAGCTCACTGGCCCATGTGGGAATCGAACCGGCAGCCCTGTTGCTCAGAGCTTGCACTCTTAACCAAGCTCTTAACCAACTGAGCCACTCGGTTGGCCCCCCCCAGCATCACACTTTTTAAAGTAAGACCTGACTTATACAATTAAAAAAAAAAGTCAGTTATTGTCATTTTATGACTCAGTAGTTCTTTGTTTGTTTGTTTGTTTTAATTAAAATGTATTGGGGTGACAATTGTTAGTAAAATTACATAGGTTTCAAGTATACAATTCTGTAATACATCATCTATACATCACATTGTGTGTTCACCACCCAGAATCAGTTCTCCTTCCATCACCATATATTTGACCCCATTTACCCTCTTTTACCATACCCACCCCCCCTTACCCTCTAGTAACCACTAAACTATGGTCTGTGTCTATGAGTTTTTCTTTCTTTCTTTGTCTTTTTCCTTTGTTGCTTTCTGTTTTATATCCCACATATTGGTGAAATTATATGATTCTTGACTTTTTCTGTTTGACTTCTTTTGCTTAGCATAATACTCTCAAGATCTATCCACGTTGTCGCAAACGGCACTATTTCATCTTTTCTTATGGCAGAGTAGTATTCCATTGTGTATATGTGTATATATTCCTAGTAAATTTGGGGTGGACTTAATTAGGGAAAGTGTTTTCTGAGATGACATTATTTTTCCTCTTGAGTAAAAAGAAACAAACATTGAGTTTACTTAAAATTTGCTTATAAAACACAGGACATGGAGGAAATGTAGTTTTGTTTTTCTTTTCTAAAGGAAAAGCTGAAACTTACTTATGAGGCAAAGAGTGAAATCCTGGAATCTCAATTGAAGCTTTTGAGGTAAAGTATTATCATCCATCTAAGTCACAGCAAAAACATAATGATTTTAAAATATATTTGAATGTTTGCTGAAATCCCGGTTTTAGTCAGTATAAGAATTACTTGGTGACATTTTATTTGCAATATAAAATATTTTCTCCATTATTGAAGAATAAGGGGGCATAAAATTGTGAAGTCCTTTTTCAAATCTTAGTTCAAAGAATTGTGAGCTGAATAATAAATTTTGTTCTTTCATTTGTTGTAAAATATTAGTGTTTTCTGATAGAAATAAGAATCACTAGCTGTTCTTGTAGAAATTATGCATTAAAATAAATAGCAAAAATAAAGCACTCTAGTTTTCAAATACATGTAAGTGTTTTTTTTCTCATCTAATTTTAAAATTGCAACAATATAATAGTTTAAGTATTTTTGTATAGATGATGAATTTGAGTATACATAATGAGTTTTCACATACTTTTTGATATGCTTTCAAAGCTCCCAATAAAACTTATTGATTAACTATTAGTGACTTATTATGCATTAGTAGTCCAAGAATTTAAGTGCAACATTCTCCTTTTTGAACTAGAAATGTTTTTTTTAATACAAAAAGATACCAGAAATTACCTTTTGTATGTTAAAGGTTATTTTAAATAATAATAATGAAATATTTTTACATCAAATAAACTTTAATACTTTATAATTTCATTTTAATAAGTCCAATTTGAAACACAATTTAAAATCTTCAGGCCATGTATTTTCTAAAGACATCTAGAGATGTCTCTAGATATCTAAGAAATCAAACTCATGGCTTTCACTGTGCATGTTACTGTTTACCTATTTTAATATGCTCTTATGCTTTTCATACCTTTTCCTTATACATTTTAGGATTTCTATATAGATTTTACTTTTTCATTAAGAAACTTAATGTTTAAAAAATGGTCTAATTATTGCTTTCTTGCTTTTTATCTTTGTTATATATTGATATCTACTGTGTTTTGATCCTTTGGTTTTTAAAGTAATGTATTTCTAGCTCATTATATTTATTATATACATTATTATATAATGTGATTTATTTTGGCTCATTCAGGATTCAAATATGCCATTTTTAATTACATTAAAACTCCACCTTACAATGAACTTTGCTCCCTGCGTCCTTGTATTTCTTCATTTTCTTTTCATATAATTTAAAACTATTGAAAGGCATTTTCTTAAAGAAAGAATAAAATCGCTACTCTCAGAAACTCTGGCTTTATGGTAATTATTTCTTTTTATTTTTCTTTTTTGCCATATCAGGTAAACCAAGCTACTTGAGTGATTTGAACTTGTATCTGACAGCAACAGTCATGGAGACCCTTTGACTTAGGAATGTGCTTCCAAAGTTCTTTTTACAAAGCCTTTGAACGTCTGGTTTTTTTTCTACTCAAACTTAAAAAGAAAACTTATTATGCCAGAGATATTATCTTGGGAATAGGGCAAAAACAGCTCCATGTTTTTTCAATTTCAGGCTGTCTTTAGATTAGCTGTTTTAACCTTTCATTTGCCTGTGGGTCCTTCCCACCTCCCCCAGGCTGCCTGAAAGCTCCCCAGATCCCAGGATTTGAGGTAGTGTGTGATGGCCAGGTGTCTTAATGACTGGCTTTTCCCCTGGGGCAGTGAGCAAGTTAGGATAGCTCTAGGTCCCTGAGTATAATAGAAACTGAGGACAGAGAGTAGACGAGCCAGAGAGAAAGTGCCTGCCTTCAGTAGTCCAAGAACTGCAGGGCGACTTTGCCCTTTTTTGAGCCAAGAAGGTTCTTTATACAATAGGGAAGGCATGTCTGTGCAAGGACCCACAGTTGCCCAAGGTGACTTTACCAAAACTTGCAGAAAAACCTCTTCCAAGGACTATCCCATAAAATCAAAACAAATAAACAAATAAACCAAACACACAGAATTTCTCAGCCCTTTTTTTTTAGCAAGTTGCATATTTCCAGCTAATAGCTGTTACTTATGAAATCTTAAGACTGGAAAGTTCCATATAGCTTCTTTCTTTCTTCTTAAAAGAGAAAGTTCCCATTCTCTTTTAGAACAGTTCTGTGTGCAACTTAGTGGTTAGAAAATTCTTTAATGTTTTTGAAGAAAAATGGGCAGTAATAAATTAGTCATGGATAAAATCCATGCCCTTTAGGTGATCCTTTCAGGCACTCTATAAATGTTAGGGGGTTAGCACTTCTAATTGGGTATTTCCCTCAATTCAAGAATGCTATTATGTCACCCTACCCCCTTATTAAGTGAAACTATTTAGAATTTTCCTTTGGAATTTAATTTTTGTTTTGTAGGTAATTAAATGCAGATGGAATCCTGTGAAAAGAGAGTGAATATCATAGGCAGACTAATTTTATAAGAACTCGGGCTAATTATTTAATATATTCAAGTCTCATTTAATCCCAAGTGTCCATTAAGATAATCACAGCTACAATTCAGGGTTGCGGTAAGAATTACTAAGTCATTGTTTGTAAAGCATCTCATAAGGCAAACACCCATAAATAATAGTACAGTAAAACCGTGGATTGTGAGTAACTTGGTTTGCGTGTGTTCCACAAGATGAGCAAACATTTCTAATACATTTTAACTTGGTAAACAAGTGATGTCTTGCAATACAAGTAGTTTGTTTCTGGAACGAATTATGCTCGCAAACCAAGGTATTACTGTAGTTATCACTCTGATGATACACTGGGAAGCAGTGTACTTTTATCTCGCTATTTACTGGAACTTTTTCTCCCCCTTTTTTTAGGAAAGACTTAGCTGAATCTCAGAAAAATTGTGAAGATCTTAAAGAGCGACTAAAGCACAAAGAGTCTCTTCTTGCTGCTAATATTTCTAACCGTGTTGGTGGTCTTTGTTTGAAATGCGCTCAGCATGAAGCTGTCCTTTCCCAAACCCATAATAATGTTCACATACAGACCATTGAGAGGCTGACTAAGTAAGTACACTTCTCTGTGTGGAGTCTTTGGCAGCATGGAGATTATCTTTAAAGGGGCATTGTGCTAAATCACATGCGATTAATGTGAAGTTTCAGATAAAATGGATTTTAAAAGGTTCCTTCATGTAGTTTTCTTGAAGACAGAATAGGCGAGCTCTGCCAACTGTGGGGGTGACATGTCTCTTTGGACAAGTAATTTTCTCTCTCTTGGTTTCGGTCTCATCCTGAAGTGAGAAAATTGAAGTAGATAATCTTCACCACTCGGCTCATTTCTATGACTCTGTAATTGTAAATCCAGCACTATTCTTAACAGAACTGCGCTTGAGAGGAATCCTTGTAATTTTGCAGTATCTTGGATTTCCCTGCTGCGTGTCGGTAGAGAAGAGTTATCATGGTGTCTTCAGCATGTGAAGGATTTTATAGTGCATTGGAAGAAGGCCCCATGACATCCCAGTATTAATTAATATTCAAGGATCGACTGAGGACAAGTTACAAATGAGCTTTTATGTGGTCAAAGTTTCCTTCTAGGCTGAAATACTGCAGATCTCTGTGTACATCTATTTCTGTTGTGTTTTCACGTCTCCAGAGGAAGTCTTTTCCTGTGAAAAGTTTATTCTGTGGAAGTTGAGAATTATTATTCGGGATATTATCCAATGACGATTTATAGGGTGTGTTCTCCCATGCCCCCTACTTTTCTGTATGCTCAAGGTCACCTCTCTCTGTCTGTGTGGGCTCCTGTGAGGAACCCAAACATCACTTCCTCTTGGAAGTATTCTCCCACCGGTCTTGCCCCATTTTTGCTTCAACTGACTTATGCTCCTCTCTTCTGTGATTTTATAATATATTCTGTATACCTGGAGGCAGCATCTGTGTTTTGTTTCTTTTTGTATCCCTGGCTTCTAGCAGCGTATTGGGGTAAACACTAGGTGAGTGTTTGCAGTTCACATGACAAAGCTTTTGGCAGTTACTGCCTAACAATCAAAGATCCTCCAGTTGAAACTGGTGTGGAGAACGGTAAGACCGAGGTCCTTAGTGTCAGACCGGTTTTGCTGTATGTTTTGACCTTTGACCAAATTATTTTACTTCTGCATATGGAGTCTCCTGTTGTTTGGAGGAATATTATCTACCTCTCTGGATTTTACTGAGCCAGCTTAGCCTGTGGCTAGAGCACTAGCTCTTGAGTCAAACTGCCTGGATTCATATCCTGGTTCTACTGCTAACTTAACTATGTAACCTCACAAAAGCTACTCAACCTCTTGTGTCTCAATTTCCCCATTTTGAAAATGGAGATAAAAGTACCTAACTAGTAGTGTTATTTTGAGGGGTCATTGAAAGAGTACCTATATAGTGCAGAAAACAGTTCCTGCTCTATACTATTGGCTCCATAGTTTTAAAACCCTCCCATACTCGAAGAGCATTCGAACTGTCTGGAAGCCTGGTTTCCACACCCGAGGAACCTACTGGTTGTTACACAAAACTGAACTTCTCCAGTATGGACTGACTGGTGACTGTTATGGTCAGCACTGATGGACCTGTTTTTGTTAAATATTAAATATATTATCAAATTATTGATATAGAGTCACTATAACTGCAAAATTTCACTATTAAATATATTTTCAGATCCAACTAACATGTAGTAAACATTTATTAAATGCCAAGGAGTGCCAGGCAATTTAAAAATAGAATCTCTTTTAATCTTAGTAAAGCATTTGTGAGGTAAATGTTCTTACCTCCATTTTGCAGCTTGTTTATATTTGAGGGGGGGGGAAAGAACCGTACCTCACAAAAATATATTCAAGATGGTTTAAAATCCCAGATGACTATAGAAATATTAGAAGAAAATATAGAAAAATATCTTAACAGCCCTGGGCTACTTAAAGTCCTGAGCATGACACAAAGAATGAAAATCATAAAGGAAAAAAAAAAGGTACATTTGAATCCATTAAAAGAGCCTTCTTGTGATACAATATTACAAATTAAGTGAAAAGACTGGGAAAAATATTTGCATCGTATAGAATATAACAAAAAACTGGTACGATGTATAAAGAATTTTCTTTGAAATTTACAAAAAAGACAACCTGCCCAGTTGCAAAATGGATAAAGAACAGGAATTGGTGAGCAATAAAAGAGGAAAATGTCAATAGATGAGAAGGTATTCATCCTGTTGTTATTTCAAGGAAATACAATTTTTAATAGACCCAACTCATCAAATTGGTGAAAATTAAAGAAGATTGATAATCACAAGAATTGTTGAGGCCATGATTAAGGAAGTATTTTCATACCTGCTGGTGGAACTATAAATTGGTACTACGTTGGAGGGTAATTTAACATTCTCCATTAATATTTAAATTGTGTATTATACGTTTCAAAATTTATTGTAGAGAACTTATATGTGTGCATAATGGGTCGTTTGGGGAATGGATTTTGCAGCATTATTTATAATGCTGTTGTGATATTATAATATAAGAAGTATGCATTTTGGTCTTCATCTCCCATTTCTGGCATAGATCTTCTAAAAACCCCTGTAATTTCCTAGGTGATAAGAGCAATAGTAGCACCTTTTGTGGTCATCTTTGGTTTTTGTCCCCTGCTCCTGCAATAGCTCCGAGCATAAAGGTGAAAGGAACATTTTTTTTTAACAAGTCCCTTTCAACCTTACCTGAGTTGATGTTAATGAGGGGACTATGTAGGTTCATACATAGGGGTGGGCACTGGTTGCCAGGGGAACCATCCCTATGATTAGAACGTTCAGCCTCGGCTCCTCAACCTCTGGAGCGGGGAGAGGAGCTGGAGATTGAGTTCAGTTACCAATGGCCAATGATTTAATCAATCATGACTATGAAACCTCCAAAGAAGCCCTAAATTATGGGGTTTGGAGAGCTGCTGTGCTGGTGAGCACACGGGGGTGCTGGGAGGGCGATGCTCTCAGGAAGGGCATGGACGCGCCAGGGCCCTTCCCACAGACCTTGCTCTATGCATCTCTTCCATTTAGCTGTTCATTAGCTGTATCCTTTATAATGAACAGGGACTAGTAAGTAAAGCACTTTCCTGAGTTCTGTGAGCTGTCCTAGCAAATCGTCCAACCCAAGGAAGGAGCCGTGGGAACCCTGGATTCGTGGCCAGCTTGTCAGACGTACAGATGACAACCAGGGACTTGCAGTTGGCATCTACAGTGCGGGACCATCTTGTGGGACTGAGCCTTAACCTGTGAGGCCTGTGCTAACTCCAGGCAGCTAGTGTCAGAATTAAGTTAGTATCTGCTAAGAATTAGAGAATTGCTTGGGCTGGAAAACCCACACATTTGGTGTCAGAAATGTTGTGAGTACAGAAACTGAGTACAGGTGTGAACAGCCTTAATAAATATCCTTCAAAGGAGAATGGGTTAGATAAACTATGAAATTGTATGCACAATAACAAAAAAGGATGAAATAGATCTGTGTGTACTAATATGGAGCTAAGCTCCAAAATATATTTTTGAAAGAAAAAAATAAAACAAAGCAAGATGAGAAAGATACACCTGGTACGACACCGTCTATATTTTTTTAGAAGTCCGTAGACAAACATACTGCATATTTTCTGTAGGTTCATACATATGCATAGAAAAAGATTTGAAAGGATAAACACCCAATATTTAACAGTGATTATCACTGAAGAAGTGGAAGAAGGCATTGAAATTCAAAGTAGGTGTCAAATAGGTCTTTAACTGCGTTGACAATTTTACAAGGAGACGTAATGAAAAAAATTAAAGAAGAAAAAGTACATTCAAAGCCACACTTAAAAAGAGGCAGAGTTTAAAACTAGGCTAGCGACATCAACCAACAAATAAAAAACAGGGTATTTTCCCCCCCTATTATATTGCCTTTCATATTGTCCTTGTAGATCATGAGAAAAATATTTTAAAAGGAAGCTACAGTGTTTACATTGATTCCAAGTCTGGCAGTCATTTAGAAGTTAGATGCTTGCTCAGTTATGTATTCCTTTGTCTCTGTTCTTAAATTTCAACTCTCAGCCTCCTAAAATAAATGTCAGCCTTCTCATTCAGTATTCTGCTTTGTCAGCATATCACTGGCTCATGCTCTGCTTTAATAACAGAATACAGTGGAAGGTTTTTGCTTTCATTGTCAGGGAAAATCTTTGTTTCTATGATTGCCTTGACCTAAACTGGGGCTCAGCTTCTTTCAATTTATTAAAGCACAATGCTGAATGTTGAGTGTTATGCTGACTTTGCAACGTGACCAATACTTTTTAGGTTTGGACTTCTAGTTGTATGCATAATTAGAAGCCTGACCCCTCAATGAGCTGCAGCGTAGTATTTCCTGCATGACTTTAACATGAAGTTTTAAAAAAACTGATATCCCAAATATGATCAATCAAGAGAGTTTCCTGGCCTGTATTTGTAACGTGGGATTGTGACAGCAGCTCGAAACTCCTTTGTTGATTGTTCAGCATGCCATGTATTGGTTATATGGCATAAGAATGACTGGGGCACTTGACACAGAGAGGATCAGGCACGACTTGGAGACCAGACCACCCATGTGTTGGTGGCGTTAGGACCTTAGGGACTTTGTGGAGAGTATGCTTAAAAACTACTGATGACGCTGGATATATTTGAAAGGTTGATTTGAAGTCCTCATAGCGTTTCTGAGTTTCTGCCTTTCCCTCAGGCCTTATTATGCCATGAGGTGGGTAAGAGCGCCAGGAACCTCTCTTTCTTACCTTAGGATGAAAAGGCCTTTGAACGGTAATGAAGATGGAGCTGCTTTGTAGGAAATTCCTTTCTGTAGCTCCTAGCGCCTTGCAGAAGCTTTGATGTACTGAAACTTTCAGAAAGGAGAAATGGCTACTACTGTGCTATCCTGGGACTTGATTTAGTCCAGATTTTGGGGTGGGTCTTTGGCAATGTTCTGTGGAATCGGCTTTGAAAGACTGGCAGGAACTTCCCAGAAATGAGGAACAAGGAAATGTTGAGGTCAGCCTTTTAGACTTTTGTTTTAAAAAACAATGACCAGACTTATTAATAATGCTTAAAACTGCTAGTAACTGTAGACTGAGCAATGGAAGGAAGGCATTTCTTAGGCACTGCATAGTTTAAGATGAAGCTCATGCACGTATAGCAGACCAAGTCTCTCCTTTCCTTATTTTGAACATGTGGCCAAGGTTATTTAGGGACTTTCTCAATCCGTTTTGCTCTGATTGCTGCCCCAAGTTCCTGAAGTGCTCCCCGCTCCTTAGCGAGTGCACCCCGGAACTCACGCGCCTGCTCCTCACCTCATCCTCTGCCCAGGGGCTCTTTCATCAGGCCCCGTGCTGTGTTTCAGAAACCTCTGTGATCACATTTCTCAAAACATTCCCAGGGGGTTTGCCCACACTCGCAGCACTTTTGCTGTGGAAGATGGTGACTTGGAGAACTGCCCCCTCACCCTCACACTGACATCGCGTGTGTACTTCTACAGCTTCCCACTGGGAAAGGCTCCCCAAGGCTTGGTTTAGGCTGGCCCTGTGGGCTGGGAGCTCTGGAGCCGGCCTGCAGCAGACTAGCTAGTTACCCCGAATGGCTGGAATTGACTGTTTTTGAAGGGCAAAGGAGTAATCGTGTGGGGCTGAAAAATGGGAACTCCATCAGGAGGGAGACAGCCAGATGAACATCAGAAGCAAGGCCTTCTGCCAAGGACAGGGCTAAAATGACCCCACCTGTTCTGTTCTGTTTGTTTGTTTGTTTGAGTGCTTGCTATTTGGCATACAGGCTGGCTGAGTTGAAACAAAACCAAACCTAACAAGTCAAAACCAAAGAGGCAGCAACTGAGTGGATAATCTGAAATTGCCGTAATGGTCCCCTGGACCTGTCCGCTTTGCACACAATTTAGGCATCTCTCCTGATGGCCACGGTCAATCATATAGTACATTTCTCTTACAGAAAATCGGAGTGTGTCAGTCCAGTGGTGACACAGATTATTCATAGAATCATTTTGTGGTCTCACTATTGAAGGGTGAGCTTAACAAGACAGCAGTGTTTGAGGGTCTATCTTTGATGATTTTCTGTGGTTCAATAGTCTGAGTTGGCGAGTTGATATTCTGAAAAAATTTTGAGCCAAAGCAACTAAACTCTTTAGTTTCCAATTCTCAATAGTCTATTTTAGATCATAAAATATTTAGAACTTGGAGGCAGTTTTATTTCACCTCTTTTGATGTCCTCCTGTAGCCTAGTCATTATTCATTATTTTGTTCTTCTGCCGCTTATTTCATTAAGTATATACTGTGTGGCAAACTGCTCTTACCATGGGGATATACTAAGAAGAGATTAAATGTATTAAACATAAGAAACAAATTTGTTAGATTTTGATCTGTTGTGATCTGTTAACATACTTATAAACATTGAGCTTTTCTGTTAATTCCTTTTATTTGGAACTTTGGCTTTGATGATGGCAGGGAGTCAGGAACAGATAAGGGAATCATTGAATAGTAGCTGGTTTTTCAATAGGTGTTAGAGCTTTAAGAAAGGTCACTATATGATACCTACGATGTTTTGCTATCCTTAATGGTGACGTTTTATTTTCTTGTAGAATTACATGTTCTGGTTGGATTGCATATTCTCTATGAGGCTAGTCCCCTTTATGTTAGGGCTTATTTTGAAATGTAAATAGCTATGAATTCAGTTTTGCTTGCATTTAATTTATTTATTACATAACTGGAATAATTTGCTTTGATTCTTCCACTTTTCACATAACCATTGTGTTTGATTATGTTTCCTAAAAATAAGTAACTCTTTTTAAAAAAATTTCCTTTAGAAGAAAAAAAATTAAAGTAAATTATATTTCTCAATTTAAAACAAACACATCAGGAAATTCTAAAATGAAGGTTACCATGCTCCCATGAATCTTATGATATTTGTAGCAATTTTTTTTAACAAAAAGAGCTTTTGTGAAACTGTTAATAATTGTAACTTTGTTCACTATTACGTATTTCTTAAAATATGGCTTTTTTCCAAATACCACAGATAGTTGAAATCATTTCATTTTTAAGAGATTTTTTTTTTTAATGGAGTCATTGGTTAATTCTAAAAGCAATTCAAACTCAGTTTATTATCTTTTAAATTATGAGGTCTTAATGTTTGTTAAATTAAAAAAAAAATCACAGTTGGCTTTTTCCTGATAGTTTAGACCTTGGCAATGAAAAGGAAATGGAAAGCAGTTACTTAAACTGAATTTGGAACCACAGTTTAAAACTTGAGCTCTTTAACAAAGCGTGGAATATCACACCTAACAGTACAACTTATATTTTTTGGCTTTGAGTATATAGAAATTTTCCTATCTCACTTTCTCTTTGGTCTACTGGTCATTTTTATCCAGTGGATAAATTCCAAATATCCTGGAATCTTTTATATGGGGTTTTTTTAACCCATGAGATTAGATCTTTGCTATTTTACATACCAAAGCATTTTGGCATTGGGTTTAGCTTAGGGCGCTTCTAAAAATTGCTGCAGAGAGGTTGGGGCCAGGCAAGGATGAAACCTACTGGGAGAAGATTTAGTTACTTATGAGCATCATGTATGTAACCAGGGCATTTGAAGGATTCAACAGTACTACCCATTGAAAGAAGAAATGTGTTCATAAATAGGTGAAAGCATTTATTGAAAGAGAGGATTGTGGAGGAAGATCAAAAGGAAAGGATATACATTTGCTCAAGTAAGTGAGAATCAGCAGAGTAAACAAAACCTTAGTGGGCCCTTCATAACATGTTTACTTCTGCTTTGGGGTGCAGTCCCCACCTTCCCCACCTTGTTGCCTTTTTTCCTTTTCAGCAACCCCCCTTTTATTTTCCAACGAATTTCCTCTCTTCTGGGCTTTAATCTGCAGCCCCCAGTGTGCTCGCCACAATAGGTTATTGTCCCAGCAGATGCAGTCTTGCTGTGAATGCTCCCAGGCTTGTGGCTGCTCTGCCAGCCCTTCACCAAGTCCGGACAGAGGGTCTTTCTCTGGGGCACGCCGCCTGGATCTTCTTCCAATACGTGTTAATGCGTTTTTCTTCCAATACGTGTTAATGCGTTTGTCTTCCTGATTTGGGAATACACGATTGTGTGTGATCATTTCTTGTTTTAAACGTTCTTTTTTTTGTGCTGACAGAGAAAGAGATGACTTAATGTCTGCACTAGTTTCCATGAGGAGCAGTTTAGCAGACATGCAGCAAAGAGAAGCGAGTGCTTACGAGCAGGTGAAGCAAGCTGTGTGCATGACCGAGGAAGCCTGCTTTGAAAAAACGAAGGCAAGTTGACCAAGATTAGAATAAAGGCGTGCCATGTTTGTGCTTTTGTTTTTCCTTTGTATTTCTTCTGTTATCCTTCCATAACTAAACTCTTTTTCTCCCCCCACCAAACACACAGAGCGAAGACCAATCTGTTCATGTTGACTTTTCTAAATTAAATAAATTTGCTATTTGGAGAGTTCTTATTCCTCTGCAAATACTCCTGTGGTAGCACTACTCAGAGAACATAGTACCATGTGGTAAAGTGCTTGGAGAGGCTTGTATGCTTAATCTTTTATTTGCTGATAATTTTTACTGCTATGAAAATCTTAACACCCATTTGTATATTCATGTATGATTAAAGGCAAATGTTGTCCCTCTATACACAGGAAATTGTGAGCACATCCAAATATGTCACAGATGATAATATATGTGTATTTAGTAGCATCTTTAACTGAGTCTACATCCACTGTATGCCAAATCGAACATGCTGAAGGATAATGATAATGACCGTGACGGTTGACAGTGATCAGGCAGCGTTCTAGGCACTTTGAATCAGGAGGTTACTGTCGGTTCAGTGCTGTGTTTGGGGCCCACACCTTAAGCCATTCAAGTTGCTATGCATTTTCCCTAGCCACACTCTCAGTGCTTACTAGCCTCATGTAGCTCGTGATGACCATATCGGACGGTGCAGATAGAGGACATTCATTCCATCATCACAGAAAGTTCTGTTGGTTAGCATTGGCCTAAGCCACAGAGCAGCATCAGTGTTTTAGGAAAACACTGGGCTGTTCTACAGCACGCCTCTTCTCAGTCAGAGCCTGATCCACTCATCTCTGGCCAGGTCCTCCCCAGCGCTTCCCAGGCACTGGACCGGTGCTGTTTTTGTTACTGATGCCCTGTGCTTTCGAAACTTATGTTCAGTTCTGACCAAACCCCCCAACATACTTCCCTGTTTCCTTCAGCTCGCCTATTTCTTCATTTGTACTGAAGCCTCGTTGTCCTGTGATCGTGTCGTGACTCTCAGAACCTCCAGTGAAGGCCCTTTGCCGCTCGCTTCGTCTCATCTGCCTGCGATGGAGGACTCAACTTCAGGCCTTTTCTGTCACCTGCTTTCAATTACGTTTCCCCTTTAAAATTCCGTTACCGCTCCCCTTTGAAGTCATTGTTGTCTCTCCTCTCCCCAAGTTTAGTTAATATCAACTCTCAATCTACAAGACACTGTTTAAGAAATCCACCCATTTTATTACTTGGGCTTATAAAATAGTTGTGTATCTTTGACATTTTTTAAGAGCTTTAGCACCTGACCATTTCCCCCCTTGTCTCAGTCTGTCCCCGCTTCTGTAACAAAAATGCCATAGATGGGGCTTCAACGGCAAACATTTGTTTCTCACGATTCTGGAGACTGGGAAGTCCAAGGTCAAGGCACCGGCAGATTCAGTGCCTGGTGCGAGCCACTTCCTGGCTCATAAACAGCCATCTTCTCACTGTGTCCGCACATGGTGGGACAGGTGCAGGTGCTCTCCGGGGTCCCTTTTATAAGGGCACTAGTCCCACTCATGAAGGCTCCACCCTCATGACCCGATCCCCTCCCAAAGGCCCCGCCTCCTAACACCATCCCTTGGGGGTTAGGTGTCAGCATATTTGGAGGGGCACAGATATTCAGTCTACAGCACCCTTCACCTTATCTGCTTTCCTTGTTTTTAAAGGTTTCAACATCTGTGTTGTTAATAAATGCACACCTTAGTCCCAACATACTTTGGCTTCATTAACTGACATTTTCCCTTATTCTGTAACTCCCGCATGAACTGTCCATCCATGACTTCCCAAATTCTGGAGCTGCTCTCTCTGACCAGAGCCTTTTCTCTTCTTCCCCATCCCAGATGAAATCGGCTCAACGTCCTCATTCCTGCCTCTAGTTCCTCAGCCTCTTCTCACATCTCATTTTATCTGTTGTCTCCAGGCTGCTCTGCTTCCCTTTCCATTTAAATATGAATTTTAGAATCCCAGACTGGACTCATTGTATTCACTCCCCCCAAACTGCTGTGCTCCCTACTCACTGAATGGCACCTTTGTCCACTAACACGCCCTGACCGGAAGTCTGGATGTCATCCCCTCCTTCATACCTGATTTCCAACCAATCACTAAGCACAAATCTTAGTTTCTGAAGTGTTGTGAGTTCTTTTCTCACTGTCACCTTTCTAGTTCATGATTCCATAATCTCTGTATATACGAATTACAAAAGCCACATGTTTTTCTCTTCACTCCATTTCCTACATCACAGCCAGAAGTGATCCTTCTTCAAGGCAGATTTGATCATGTGACTCTCCTATTTGTAACCCTTCAGTGATTTCCCACTTCAGGACAATCTCCAAACTCCTTCGCAAGTCTGTGAGGTCTGTCATAATGCGCTTCCTTTTAACCCTTCACTCTCACTTCTTCTTACTCTCCTTTTATACCCGACCCTCCAGCAGACTCAGCCGCTGTCAGCTTTGAAAAGCAGTCGAGTTTAAAGGTCGGGCACAGTCTTATTAGAGTTAGCCAGACCTAGGTTCAACATCCAGCCCCATCATTCACTGACCATGAGACTTTGGGCATGTTATTGAATTCTCTGTGCCTCAGTTTTTCCTCGTCTGTAAAATGGACATAATACCTGACTCATAGGATTGTGAGTGAGGACTCTATTTTAAAATGTACTTTGGTTATTTTGTAGAAACTCTGGCACAGAATATTTCCTGCGTAAGTGGTGGTGGTGATGGTGGTGATGGTGGTGATGGTTGTTCATCCTCCTGACTGCTGTGCTTTTCCAGCCTCTGGGTCTTCGTACCAGCCATGCAAATTCTCCTTTACTCCACTGCCTGGATATTGTCTCCATCCTGCAGGTCTTAGCTTACATGCCACTCTCCCTAGAAAACCTGTTCCCCCATGTCCAGATTTGACGTACCTCTTATAGTGGGTTTCTCAACCTTGGCACTGTTGACATTTTGGGCTACATAATGCTTTGTTTTAGACGATGTCCTGCACATTGTAAGATGTTTAGCAGCATCCCTGGCCTCTACCCACTAGATGCCAGTAGGACACCCCAAGTTCGGAGAACCAAAAATGTCTCCAGACATTGCCCACTGTCTCCTGGGCGGGGGGAGAATTGCCCCCACTCCTCATTACAACATTTATCAAAATGTATTAATATTGCTTATGCGTCTGTATCTTTCACTAAACATTAACGTCTCTGACAGGAAGGAATGCATCCATTTTGTTCACCATTAAATCCCTAGCATCTTGCATTTAGCACATAGTAGGTACTCAGAAAACAGCCACCGACTACGGGAGCTGTGATGTGTTCTCACTAACACCAAAGAAATAAAGAATTTCCTGTCTTTCTAGTTTATCTGCTTTGCCAGTGCCAGTGAACGTTAAGCCCAATCATATTTTTTCCCTCTTACTGCTTTCAGCCTCTTGTGGAAGAAAGCCATCTAAGAAAGCCACGGAATGAATTCCACAGGACAGTGATACTGTTACCTTCTGTGCTTCTAAGTTCTGTGTCACAATTCTTTTCTTTGCCGCTGACCACCTTTATATACATTAGACGGGCGTTTGACTTATCATTTCCCAGCTCCGCTCCTAGCATCTCATTCTCGGTGGATGACCGGCTTAACCCAGATCACGACCAGCAGACAAAACCTCCGCCACCTTCTCATTCCTCGCGCAGACCTTCTACTATTTTTTTCTTGCTTAACTGGCCCTCTTGCTTCCCAAGATGAATCTCTTTCTCTAAGTTCTTGATCTCTCCTACTTCTAGAGCTTCAGGGACCCTGAGCTATTTGTCATCACGTCTTTCTTGCATCTTCCATCCTTCCCTCTCCACTGTTTTCCCCCCTCATCTTATCTACATTCTTGTTTAAACAAACAGGAAGCCGCTTTCTCTCCAGCAGCTTTCGTTGAATGCGCTACCTTCTCAGCGTCGTGTCATGGGCAGACCTTGCACCGCGCCGTCTGCCCTTGCAGCTTTCCATTCACTTCTGAACACGTTGCAGCCAGGCTTTCAACACATTGCAGCCTGATTTCATGCAGAATTGCTCACTTATTGGCCACCAGTGAATTTCTGGTTACTAAACCCAGGGATCTCATTTCAATCCTCATCTGACTCAACTCTGCAGCTTTGGAAGCCGTAACTGTCCTATCATACCGTGTCATCTCTTTCCCTCGATGTATCTGATATTTTACTCTTGTGGGCCTCTCTGTATTGCTCTTGTCTACTCCTCTTAGTCTCCAAACTTGTTTTTCCACAAGCCTTAAATACAGACTTTCCTTAGAGGGCCTTTCACCCATGTTACCCTGTTTTCCAGGGATTTGTATCTTTTCTCCTGGCCAAGCCATTACCATCACTTGAACACCTCCAGTGAGGCCTTTAGTTCTAACAGCCTTCCTGGGCCTCAGACCTACATTTTCTGCTATAGATGAATGATATTCCATTAGTATCCGAAACTCTACACAATCAAATGATTCATTCACTCCACCGTCCCTGTCTACCACTCCTTTTCCTCCTGCCGTTTTCTTTATTACCTTTTAATAATAATGGCATCGCCATCTTGCCAATAGCCCTGGTTTGCATCCTTTGAAATATCTTTGCTCCTCCTCACCCCTCACTCTTGACAGCTAATCATGACCAAGCTCTCACTCTCTCTTCAGAGTCCCTGTCTGAGCTGTGCCCACCGTCCCATTCCCATACCCTGCCCTGGTTCATGTCGTCACATACTCTTATGCCACCTCTGCAGACCATTGCAGTCGCCTTCAAAACTGGTCTCCCCCAGGTCTCTTGTGATTCCTGTGTCTCTTTCCCAGCACTGCCGAAGTCTGCCTGAATTGTACATCTCTCTGTTCAGGTAGCTCCCCTCCTGCAGTGCCATGAAAGACAAATGCCTTAGCATGACCTTCCAGATCTTTCACATTACGGTCCTGCTCTAACTTTTCTCTCCTTATCTTTTACTATCTATTCTTTCACATGACTGGTGCTGTTTCCA